CCTGTTGTATGTAATTCAGCTTCGAACTGTAGACTGGAGAGCTTTGCGAACAATCTATTCACCAACCCCCTCCCTACCTTGACAGGAATCAGCGCTAGAGTTGAGCACCTCCGGAACACGTCGAGGAAAATGCAGTGTACTAGATGCCAGGAAGACGGGCACCCTCTTAAATACTGTAAAAACCCTCCAAAGTGTAAATTCTGCTCCCAACAACACCAAAGCTCGCAACACAAATGTCGTCAGTGCGAAGCTCAAGGCGGAGCCTGCGTACACACTACCACCGATGCTATCACAGAATCCCAATGATAGAAAGCCCGATCAAAATCATCTCTTTTAATGCTAACACTACATCAGAAGCCATGGAAAACGCGCTAGAAATAGCTGTCCAAGTCAAAGCAGACATTGTACTCTTCCAAGAACCATGGTTTCACAATGCACGAAACAGACAAAATTACACAGCTGTCACCTCAACAGCACATGGCAGTTTTACGCAAATTCTCCCAAACCACTTGCCCAGCAAAAGGCCTCGAACAATTACCTATATCGCAAAAACCTTCAAACCCTCAGTCAGCCTCTCAAGAGAGTCACCCAGCGACACCGATATCCAGTTTATCGACATTACTGAAGGAGAAGAATCAATACAAGTAGTCAACATCTACAACCAGAAAGACCAGGGAGAGCACGAGAAAAGAACGTTCCAAAGACATCTACAAAACTACAATATTAGAAATAATACAATAGTCATGGGAGACTTTAACTCACACCACCCATGGTGGAACCCTGCCATTTATACGCCTAACCAAGAGGCCGAAGAGCTGGCAGAGTGGATAGAAGACAATAGCTTCAGCCTCCTTAACAAGCCAGGCGAAATAACCTTTTTCAGACAAAACTCTACCACTCCCTCTGTGCTCGACCTTGCACTAGTATCACAAGAAGTAAGTGAACATATCCAAAGCTTTGGAATCAATAACGCCATCGCCTCAGACCACTGGGGCCTGCAACTTCATCTCTACGGAAAGAATAGAGACTGGGTCAACAACCCGCTACACCAGGCACAATATAACACAAAAATAGCGGACTGGAAGCTCTTCAGGGAAACCGTCAACATAAGCATCCTCAACTCCCCTCATCTCAGAACTCTCACAACCATGGAAAATCCAGCTACGGTAGACAACTCACTTAAAATCATCGAAGAACGGAATTCTCTTCTACAAGCTAGCCTCGATGCAATCGCTAGCGCACTCACAGAAGCAATCACGTCAGCTGCGGAAAAGGCAATTCCAAGAGCATATACTGGAACCTTCTCAAAGCCATGGTGGACGCCAGAGTTGAAAGAGTTAAGGAAGAAAATGACAGCCAGGCAACGCCAAATTACACTACACGAACAAACGTCAAAGACGGAATACGTGCGAGCTCGAAACACCTATTTCGAAGTACTCAAAAGAACTAAAACAGCACACTGGAACCATTTCCTAGAAAGAGAAGACCCGAAAGCAATCTTCAAGGCCATGAAATACACCAAAGACGGGAAAACACAGAGAATGCCACACATCAAAGATCAGCAACAGAACCTCCAAACCACATTCGAAGGCAAATGTAAAGCGTTTAGAGAAACTTTATTCCCCCCACCACCCACGGCTACTAGCGCAACATGGACCAACTACACGCCAAGCAAAAAGTGGGAATGGCCTGAACTCACAAGAACTGAATTAGAGTACGCATGCTCTTCAAAGATCCTATCAAAATCGCCAGGGCCAGATGGAATCACACAAGACATCATTACTAAAGCCTACGAAGCTATCCCTGAAACCTTCTTCTGTGTCTACGCTAGGTTTTATTACTTAACTCGACGATGTTCCTAAGACCAGCGTTCGGCAACTGGAATTTTATTCCATCCGGAATACCTATAGAGCACCTGTAGAATGGAATGGGATACCTCTACTAGTCTATCTCTGGAATTCCACAGAAAAATGGGATTCCAGAGTCATGAAAACACGTGATTTAGTATAGGTCCACGTAATTTGGTCTGTATATATATATATACCCCTATGAAAGCACGAAAAGCGGTGCTACACTCACACTAATAGGTGCCGCACCAACTCCGGACTAACTCCGAGTCGGTGCGACACCGACTTTTAAAATAATCGTACTTCTTAAAAAAATTAAAAACCAAAAAAAAACCCCTATTTTAGTATTCCAAATATTAAGAATAATTAACTATATCCCTATACTAAGTATAAGCCCTATAATAGCTAAATTACGTTCTATATTTAATTTTACGGGAGCGTTCGGGAGATTTCCCGGGCGTTCCCGGACGTAGGCCGCGTGCACACGCGTGCACAGGCCACATCACGTACTCGGTAGTACTCCTATACGCTTAACCCCATCGCTAAAAAAAATATAAGTATTAAATTCAGTCGATTCAGCGAAATTTAATTGACGCGTGTCATAGGCAGCAATACACAGGTATAGTATTAGGTAGGTAATTACAACTCCTCGATTATAGACCGGGAGGGACTTAGATAAAGTTAGAATTCAGGGCCTGCGTACTTTTCGTAAAGTAGGTACGGCACTGGTTTTTTAGGTCACTTTGCACCCGTAGGACCGACTTTTGCCCATAGTAATTGGGGTCGGTGTAGCACTAGTTTAGGTAGGTGTCGCACCTACTCTAGATCAGTACCGCACCTACTCTAGATCAGTGCAGCACCTACCCTAATTACTATGGGCAAAAGTCGGTGCTACACCTACCGGGTGTTTCACAGGGTACATTTCTCTAGGTAGGTCAATAGGTAGAAATACTAGTAGCTCTCTAGTACGTTCCTTTATAATTGAAGGATTCGCGAGTTTTATACTATAGAGGAGTATTTAAGGGGGGGGTTTACGTGACCTATCTTGTTATCTGACCGTTTATAAAAATAGGGACTTCCTATTAGTTAACGGAGCGGGAGTACATTTGTCCGGATCATGTGACAAGTTCTAGCTGGAAATTCTATAAATTCTATGGAATAAAGGGGTCTGGAATAGAATCCATAGAATTCTATAGAATACGTTCCACTTGCCGATCGCTGCCGAAGACTTAGAAATTTCCCCACTACAGTACTTATACCCTCAGCTATCGATTCATAAAAAGAAGCCTACAAAGGTACTTAGAGAATACCATCTAAGCAAGTTCTATACATTATCACCGAGAACAACGAGTATCTATTAATCAGCACCTATAACCCACTTACCCACCAATTCCTCACGCTTTCCGAGATGTTTGAAGAGTCAGATCATCACGAAAAGAACGTAGGAACGAAGAAAGAATAGATATCGAAATACAGTCGCATCTGGCATCAACTCTCACCACGCAAACCTCCAGTTTTTAATTCCTAACCCTTCCTCCACCTACTCCCGCAAAACAGCTATCCATACATCAACTACCTCAACCAAATTAACCCCCTTCCCTCCACCCTAGAACATTTATTCTAACCCTACGTAGCCCTAACTCTCATTCCCAGTCCCAAACCTAAACCCAAAACTCGGACCAGAATCCACCGCCTTACCCCCACCCCGACTCTGCTCCCTCCTCACCCTCGTCGTCTCCCTCTCAATAACCTCGCTCAACTCCTCACGTTCCATCTCACGCTCCTCAGTAGCATCATCCCTCTCAGCTTCTTCATCACCTTGAAGGCCACCATTCCCCTCGCCAGATTCCTCTTTACCACCCACCATATCAAGGTTCGCCCTCTCATCTCTCCCTCCACTCATACTCTCCCGTTCTCTCTCCCCCCTCTTCCCCCTCTCAAACCCCAACGCCGCCTCAATCTTCGCCTCAAAAACAGCCTTCTCATTCTCCTCCCTAATAACCGCAAAATGACACCGTCTATGCACACCCAACCCACTCAAGAACAGCCCCGAGACCTCGTAGGCAAAGAGGATAGGCATCGAGTACCGAAGTGTGGGATTACACCCTCCACTCCAGATATCAACGAGGATCTGATACACCTCATGCGCCGGCATCGCATAGCCCCATCGATAGAAGGGACTCGAGAGCTCGAATGGGAGGAGGATACTCGTGACGTTGAGGATGACCCAAGTTATCAGCGCCATGGGGACGAAGGGCAAAGGTAGCCAGACGGTGAACACGTCGAAGGTTAGAAAGTTGAGGTGTGCGAAGATCCACAGCGCGGCCCAGGTGAGGAAGAATTGCGCCGTGTTGACGGCCCAGCCTGCTTTGAAGGCCCAGATGGAGGCCGTGACACAGAGCGAGCCGATGAGGCAGTATGCTAGCGAGAGGAGGAAGCGGAAGGTCAGGATGCGGTGGGGGTTGAGTCGGGTGTAGATCTTGAAGGACTCGTAGAGACTGTTGATGGTTCCGAGGTAGAAGAATTCTTGGATGAGGATGAGGATTATGACGAGAGTGTTGTAGATTGCCCGCGAGCCTTGGGTGGTAGGTTGTATGTTGATACTCCTCAGATGCCACGGATCCGCAAACACGGATATGGACTGGGAAGTGAGTGGGATCTCTGAAAAGTTCCCTTGGGAATAGATGACCCTCGCCTCATTCGCAAGACTCTGAAGATTCGCAGAGATAGCCGAATCCACAACCGACGAATAAAGCGCCTCATTCCAAATATAACTCATCACATTCCCCCGATCATACACCTCTCCCCTCAATCCCCCCTCAACCCTCTCACTCGCCCCCCTTTCAACACTAAACGTCGCCCAATACCCTGCTGTACCGT